GGTTGGGATAGATATATAGTTGCATTCTCTTAATGAATAGAATGATTTTTTCTAATGGTGTTTGTAAGTAGGATCACAAGTCTGCATCTTGTACTGCAATTTACCACTAAGAAGAATATATGCAGTGTATTATTTGTTGAAACTGTACTTCCGTTTTGATTTGAAACTGTCTCATTCTATATGTTTATCAATAAAACTTTGAAAAGAAAAAAAAAGAAAGAAATGCTACACACTTAGATGACCAAAATGACAGGTATTTCAAATGACATGGTCTTAGTATTACACATTGCTGTCCTCAATGTATTTGCTTTGTTCACAGATATCAGCATAGAGAGCTAGTTATGGTGAAATTTCTACCCATTAACTGCTATTTTCGAAAATTCTTAGAACAATTGCCTTATCCATCTTGTATATATACATGTATAGTTTTGCTCTTACCTTCTTTCCTAACTTTTCTCCTTTTCCTCTCCTTGTTGTTCAGTCCTTAAGTTTTGTTTCTTTCCATTTCACTGTCTCTGTTACACCTTTCAGTTTTTATTTCTTCTTTTGAGTTCTTATACTAGAGAGACAATATGATATTTACACATGTGGGTGTGGTTTAATTCACTCATGAGTATAGCTTCAACTTGCATCCACTTATACATGATGGCCAGCCAAGAGTTCTGCATAGCCCCAGGGAACCTTGCCTAAGAACGTGACCCTGGTAGGGATGGAGGTGAGTGTGGCTTATCTCTCAGGGAGCATTCTGACTGAGGCAAAGGGGGTGGGTTTACCCAAGTCCCAGGCGGTGCCTGGGGACCACCTGCCTTTCACCTCCCAGACCCATCCCACTCACCCCTTGCCTTCGGCGGCGGCACTCACTGGCATCACGGGACACTCGGGATCACTCGGGTTCTCACTCATTTCATCGTTGAAACAATTGCCGCCCTGATAGAGTAGGTGCAAAAAGACAAATGAGATGATCTAGTGGGACGAGAAGAAAATAGCTCTGTTAAATATACGTTTTAAAGAGTAAGCCCTCCAACCCACCCCAAAGAACCCTGAAGATTTCGGATTCTGGACTCGTTTTCTGGCTCAATGCCTCATGTTTCTCGAGTGTCGATGGCTCTGGTGGGGTGGGGGGTTCGCTTCCCGTGGGCGAGAGAGCTGAACACAGGTTGCTGGGCTGCAGAGCAGTCCCCTCCCTGTCCCGGGCGGAGGCAGAAGCGCTGGCGGCAAGGGCGCTGCTCGCAGCTAGCAGCTTGGGCGGGAGGCCTGTGGAGAGAACACTGTTATGGGTCACTCAGAATAGGAACCAGATCAGCCAGGTTGGAATTTGGAAAGCCATTTATTACTGAGCTCAGGGTCCCCCAGTCTGCTCTCATGCAGGAGAGGACCGAAAGGCGGCGGCCCAGGAAGTAGGAAGGGGTTTTAAACCCTGGAACTACATTGAGTTTGATAAGCAAATTCATTGAATGACCACATTCAGTTTGGTAAACAAATTCATTGTCTGACACAAAATAATGCTTTCAGAGTGATTGGGACCGCGACTCAAACTACATTTTTGGGGCTTTTGTTTCAGTTTCTGGTTAATTTGCACCTGAGTACCTGCAAGCAGCCTTGCATAGCCCTGAGGTTACAAGAAGTTAAAGCCCATTTAATTTCCTTTTGAAGTCATCTCTGTAAGCTCACTTTGGTAACAGGAATTGGTGAGGGTTACAGGAATTTTATCTTAGCAAAGAGCAAGAAACAGCCACTAGTTACTAAACAACTTAGAACCGTGGTGAGTATACATTTACAACAGAAAGCACAAGATTTATATTTATAATCTAAAACGTGAGTTGACTCATTACAAACACCACCAGACAACTGAGCACCTTCATCCTTTCCACCGTGCCCACGGTGACCCGGCTGCCTGCGCTGCTGCAGCCGCCACTCAGCCCCCGCCTGAGACCCATAGTCTAGCTGGAGGCCTGGCGGTAGCAGAGAAAGGACGCACGCGGGAGAGAGGCAGCGAGAGTGGAGCAGAGAAAGGCCCAGAAAAGAAGGTCGGAGGAGCTGGAGGGGGAAGGGAGGATGGGAGCCCTGCGCTACCCGGTCCCCGCCAGCGAATTCACCCCCCTTCCCTCCTCCCTCCCTCCCATGAAAGAAAGTTATTTCAGTTCAGGCATCTGCTACCGAGTCCTTACCTACAGTCTGGTTCTAGTTCAACGAATGTGCAGGAGACTCAGACGGGTGAAGAGCCAAAGCCGACGAAGAGCGTCCGCCCGCTGGGCCACGGCTGATACCCCCGTACCCGCGGCTAGGCTGCGGAAGCAGCGGCAGCCTGCGCGCCTCCCCGCCCCAGGCAGAGCGGCGTTTTCACAAACACTTATCCTGCTGTCTCAGTTACTCTTCTCTCCTTGCAGGGACAAACACCCACACACCAAGGAAGGAATTAAGGATTTACTTCCTTGACAGTTACTGGAGTTTCCTTGCATATTCGGCTGGTTCAAAGGCAGCCTACTTTGAGACTCCAGACATCCCGAGAATGGTTTCTGAACCTCCAGCCCTCAGGAGACTGAGGCAGAAGGATGGCGATCCTAGCTTAAAGCAGCTTTAATTGCATGGCAAGACATGGAAGCCTTCTTTGCTCCATTTGCTCCGGAGACAGGGTAAATGCCTCCCTCTTCTCTCAATATGTCCTCTCTGCCTGAGGTGGCCTCAATCACAGACCCGGCCGCACTGCGCTCCAAGATATGGTGGGAGAGGATAGGGTGCGTCTGCATGGAGGACAACCTGCTCCACACCTCAGAGGGGCAGCAGGACCGGGCAGGGTTTTGCAGCCAGTTCAAGGATTCCCGCCTCGCAGCCGCGCCCTAGCCCGCCCAGGCCCCGCCCGGGCCATGCCCCCTCCCACCCCCTGTAGCCCGCGGCCTGGTCAGCTGGCCACGCCCCTCCCCTCCAGTCTGGAGCTGCTCCTCCAGCCTCAACCACCTGCCCACTTACCTGAGGAATAATGGATTCCTGTGTCCAGATTCTCAAACAGCAGGTGGGGAAGGGACAGCCAGCAGTTGGAGGAGTCATGGAAGGAGCTGCTCTGCAAGAGGGTCAGAGAATGACATCACTTCCTTGACAACACACCAAACAGAACCTGGCACCCCAACTCACCCTGGTTGCCCAGATCCCTGCCTGTGTTCTGTGTGGTGTGTTTGCTGGTGCGTGAGAATAGAAGGGACTTCTTTCCACGCTGTTTCATTTGGGGGCTGAGCTTTTCCGGGTTGGTTACAGTTTCCATGCTTCAAGTCTACCTTTTTTGGCCCACTCAGGGCACAAATAACACCACCCCAAAGCCAGAGGAAGCCAGTAGTGGTGGGGACCTTGCAACCAGGCACACCGGAGAACCTGGTGAACTCCCTGGTGCCTGCCCAGAGCAGCAGAGAGCCCTTCTTTGTGCCTACTTGTCTGGCCAACTCCAGGCGGCCTGCCGCCACTGCCACCACCACCACCACCACCAGGCAAGAAGTGCTGGATCTGCTGTCCCCCAGGTGTGCCCCACTTCCAAGCTACGGCCCTACCACCTCCTTTCTGACTGGATATTGGGAACACAGTGCCCTGTTCCAAGGCCCAGTGTGCTCTGTGGAACCAGGGGTGTTTAAAGGACTCTGCTCAGACTGTACAGTCCATGACCAAGCAGGCTGAAACCACAGAGCACGTCTCCCAGGTCTGGTGCTGTGCAGTGTGATCAGCCTGTGGCTGTGGCTGTAGGGCTTCCCCATCGCCAGTGAATGAGCTGTGTATCCAGGGCCTCACTTTCCTAGGGTGCTGGGGACATTAATCCAGATCAGCGAGGCCTAGGTGAAAGAGTGCAGCTTGGATATTTACACATCTGGGCCAGAGCTCTCTGAGTGATTTCCCAGCAAAGATGTGTGCAGTGCACCTACTGTGGGCACGCACATTTCCTGACACTTCTCTGTCATTCAGGGAGCAGCACAGATGTACCTCTCCACCTCCCCTGCTTCTCTACTCATCCCAGAATCTAACCATCCTCTACACAGCCTGGTAGGTGGGGACACTGGCCACACTGGGTGCTCTAAGGTCACACCCTCCTGACTCTTCTAGGTATGTGATCTTCTACCCTAACTGGGAGGAGGATTAGCAAAGCAAGTGGTGCAAGGGCTTGAGGCTAAGAGGGAGTATTTCTGACTCCAGAGCGGGGGCTCATCGGATCACCTGGGCTTCAACAGGGCAGAGAAATCTCCGGGGCCACACAGGGTTCATTGATTCCTGGTAGAAGCTGGGACCTGGGGCTGCACCTCACCGAGAAGGAAGATGCAGAGCTGTGGTTGGGGTCCTGGACATGGGGGCAGAAGTGGTGACCCTGAGGCTTCCTCTGCACACAGCCTGTTCTCAGCCAGACGAGCCCACCATATCCTGTATGGAGGCTGATCAGAAGGTGAATAGCACAGACTGCTCAGCGTGGGTTGCCCAACCTGGTCCAGCAGCTCCCAGGCAGGGCAGGAGCAGGTCTGCCAGGCAGCTCTCCTTCAGTGTCCAAACGAGGCTAAGGAATGAGGAGATGTCAGGCCCCTGACCCTCCTTCCTCTCTGCCACTAAAGCTTTGAGGGCCCAGACCGGGCCAGTCATAACCTGTGCCTTGTGAAATTGTCTCCGAAGCATGCAGAATCCTGATCCAGCATGAAACCCATGAAGCATGATCCAATCCTGAGGGTGAAGAGGCCGGGGAGAATGCCTGGACAAGGGGTGGCCATGCTCATATTGAACTGCCCAGAGGGAGCTCCACAGGCTGTATGCTGGCCAGGAGCAAAGGAAGGGGCTGGCGTCTGAGATTGGCATGTACCCCTGCAGGGATGGAGTCTTGCAGTAGGGCCAGAATCTGGGACTTCTCTGATGGGAAGGGGGCTGCTCTGCCTTGGGAAAGAGTCAGGCAAGGACAGTCGTGGAGATTTATAAAATCTTTCTTACAAATCCTGTGATTTACAAACAGGTACATGTGTTTCCCCCCCTTTGGGTTTTTGGAGTGTGTGTCTGTGTGTGTTCTCCTGAGTAGTCAGGGAACTTATACCTATTTTATTGAGGTTTCGATTTTTTTTTTTTCAAATTCCAACCAGAAGCTAAATACCATTAGAATGAGGAAGCACTAGTTTTACTCCAAAGGAGTAGGATCACTCAGATTTACTCCAAAAGTATGCAATTCTTAAGCAAAGATTTTTTTTTTCGTATAAAGTAAGGAACAAAACAAAGAGCTACAGTGTCTGTCCTTTTGTTCCTTGCACAGCATGAGTTCTGTGTTTAAAACTTTGACACTGCCTATTTTTTTTTTTTTACAGTTTCAACAAATAATACACTGCATATATTCTTCTCAGTGGTTAATTGCTGTACAAGATGCAGACTTGTGATCCTATTTACAAACAACACTGCCTATTTTTAAAATGTCACTTTTTATTAATTTTACCTGTTCCAAACATTTTGCCTTCAGAGTCAGGGAGACAGCTCAGTAGAACAAGTGCTTGCCTGGCAAAGTGCAGGGTTCTGAGTTCATTCCGGGTACTGCAGAAAAATAAATAAATGGATAAATAAAGAAAAAAATTGCCTTTTTCTTTAGGATGGTGTACAATTTCTAAAGAATTCACTGGAATTATTTTATCATTAAAATTTCTTTCCTTTAACGCCACAAAACAAAAACTAAAATAAAGCCCTCTACCTATCACGGTCTCTGCAGCCATGAGTGCATTTCTTAGTGTTGTAGCTGCTTTAGCGACTTTAGACTCCATATCTGCTTTAATGTATATAAACATATCCACATTCAGAAGACATTTTATAGCAGCAACTTGGGGAAAGTGATCTGGGGAAAAAATACCTATGTTTATGTATCCAGAAAACAAACATGGCCCAGGAAAATAGGAGGCAAGAATGCCTAGTATGAGATGCTTTTGTCATTTAAGATTTCTTTCCCATGGTTGTCATTTCTTTTTTAAACAATCCCTTCTGATCAGTAGAAGGAATCTGACAGTGCTCTGAAGGTCGGTAATTATAGCAAAGCTATTAAGTTGTTTTTCGTTTGTTGGTTGGTTGGGTTTTTTTTGCCGGAAATGGTGATTGAACTCAGGCCCTTGCATTGGCCAGGGAAGCACTTATTCTACTCAGCTATCTCCCCTGGCCCTGTTAAATTTTTAAAAATGTTATTTACACCTGTTCCGTTCACTTCTCACCCTCCAAATACCAATGACAGGTGTCAAACAGGCAAACACCAGCACAAATGGGAAGAACATCAATTGAGTATTACTGTTGTAGGCAACTAAATGAGATGGAAATATGGTAGGCATTCAGACCTGGCCAGGCCCTCAGAGACAATATAGAAGACAAGGTGACTTTACAGCTTTGGAAGAGACAGACACTCCCTGCTGTGGGCCAGGCCTCAAGACAAGAGTCAACAAATGTAGCCACCTACATCCCTAGGAATGGGCACCAGGGATTGATACTCTGAATAGGTATCAATCACCTTGAAAGAGCCCAAATAACTCACTAATGCAAGCCGCAAGGGGAGGAGAACCTGTCCCTTATTCATGGTGGCTTGCTAGGTGACTGGCTTCCCCATTTGGTATTGGATTTCATCAAGTTTACCTGAGCAATGGTGCTTGTGATCTCTTTGGTTGACCATAGTTTTGTCCCACCATTTGGACACCTAAGTGAGTTCCCATGTTCTCCACCACCTTAAAACAGCTTCACTGCATGGATTTGCTCTACCAAAGTCCCTAAAAGAGACAGCTACCCTAGCTGGGGCCCACCTGCTTGGGCACCCCTTTCCTGTGCCTCTCTCAGACAGGAGCTTCCTTTTGCCCAGTAAATATATTCTGCTCAGAACCTCCATTTGTTCCTAAAATCCATTCTTTGGTTTTAGAGAGCATAAAGTCACCCCAGGTAACTTTCAGGTCAAGAGTTTCATTTGTTTCCCCTCTATCATCACCTTCTGCTTTCAGACACATTTAAGCATCACAGTGTAGAGCAGTGACATTTCATGTCACATTTTTAGTAAGATGCTGATGCAGTGCAGCAAATAGGCAAAGCATCTTCTTTCACCCAGTCTGTGCAGAAGACCTTTAATTTTTTTTAAGTTCAGAGATACACATGTTGGAAAAAAATCCAGGATGGACAAGTTTCAAAATGTGTAGTGTCCTATGCATGAATCCATTTTCTTTAAACTCTGAAAAAGCAAAGTGGTAAGAAAGCAAGAAAAAACTGGTGCTGCTGTATTCATCCTCTGGCATGTAAGGGCAAAGGTGGTCCTCCATGGTGCCCACTGCCCAGTGGGCGAGCTCTCCTGTGCCAGGTAGAGGCAGATGCTGCACTACTTGAAGATTGTAGCTTTGTTTTTGGGAGTCTGCCAGTGCTGTCTGTCAATGAAGAGAAGCACTGACTGGCTAGGGTTGTTGAGAGCAATTCCAGTCTTGTCCTTGCGGCTCAGTACCTGCAGAAACTTTTTCATAGTCACCAGTGATGAATCTCAAATTGGGCCTGAACAGGTTTAAAAGGCTCAATTGATTCCTTTCTTCTAGAAAACCAGAGACAGGTGATTTTCTCACTGTCATTCCAAGGCCAAAGAAGGAGATCCATCTCCTGAGTACAGCCAATTTCATCCCTTAGCTGTACCACATCCTTCTGTAAAAGCTCTCTGGAACTTGCCAAGGAATAACTGGAATCTCACACACCTTTCAGGATATTTTCTTCATAATTATTTCTCATTACTGGTATAACTTCAGACACTTCAAAAAGTGCCAAGTTGTTTTCTTCTCCTGGAACACAAAGTCAAAACACATCTTGATATCAAACTGGTCAGCTAGAGATTCCTTTTCCTTTCTAAGCTGAGCACCAGTCTGTTCAGAGCTTGTTTCTTCCGGGAGTTTGAGTACTCCATTCTGAAACACAGGTGGTACTGAAGCCTTTGGAAATTGTCAGTGAACTTTGGGCACTTTTTCCTCAGACTCAATTAAAATAGAAACAAGTCATTTTTC